TTTTTTTTTAATAAATTAAGATACTGTTATTTCTTCTTCATCTGACTCTGAGAAGTCTGAGTGCTTACTGGAGAGAGAAGGAGAGGAGATGCTGGATCCTGCCGACCTCATTCTCTCTCTACCGAACTCTTCCTCCTCCTCCTCCTCTTCCTCGGCTGAGGACTTCTTGCCCACGTCGCTGAGGTCCGGGTGCGGGTTGGCTTTGGTGGGCAGCGTCTGCTCACGGCAGCCACCGGACGACAGCAGCTCTCGTTCCTTAGAGTTCCTCCACTTCATCCGCCGGTTCTGGAACCAGATTTTCACCTGTGGACAAGGGGAAACGGTGAGTGGAAAGCGTCTGCGTCAGGTGCAGTGGAATGCGCAGCAGCGTCTTTATGCTCAGATTACGCACGACGTATTGATCATTTTAAGGCCACGTGAGCGCTTATGGTGGACTTTTACCTGTGAGTCTTTAAGGCCGAGTTTGGAGGCCAGTTTCTTCCTGTCCGGTTTGCTGATGTATTTCTGTTTCTGGAACATTTTCTCCAAGGCCTTGCGCTGCACGTCGGAGAACACCGCCCTCCTCAGCATCCCTCTGCGGGGTTTCCCTCTGGCGGCCAGGGGCCACGAAAATGTCCCGGGGATGGGAACAACGGATGAGGATGCTACAATACAAACACAGAGGAGAAACAGCAACCTGTTAGCTTTGTTTACTATGTCGCATCTCAGAAAAACAAATGTTCACAGAGAAGAAATGATCATTACAGCCAGAAAAGGAGCAGCTGGGTGATGGGAAATATCTTACTGCTTTATAAATCTAAGACATCAGAGCAGATCTATATGACTATAGTGATGTCTCTGTAAGGCCATACTTTTAAAGCGGTTATTATTGGAAGTTTTCCCCCTTGGAACTGTGCAATACGTCTCTGTTTTGAGTGAAATGGCACGAGGTGACTAATTAGCACATTGGCCGGTCCCCAACCGCATTGGTATGGTAAAGAGGTAGCATATCCTTTAAGGAACCCTGTGAGGGCGGATAGAGGAGTTAATAAACCGTGAACGGTAATTGTGTAGTAATGAACTAACGCAGAAAAGACTCTGGACAGGCGGCGAAGGCCATATATTATCGCAACAAAAGGAGATTTACACTTTCAAACTAAACACAACTGCATACCAGAATACTGATGCCCGGAGGGGGGAGTGAAGAGTGGAGGGGAATGGCGCATTTTTTTTTCTTCATGCCCTCAAATCATTTTCATTAAATGAACACGAAAAGCTATTCAGGGCGCTGGAGTTGTTTTGTTGAGGCATTCAGCTGAGCCCATGAAAAGACTCCATCTCCATTATGATTTGTCTGAATGAAAGCAGGGACTAGCGACTTTATAGACTTTTCTAAGAGATTATTCTTTATCTCAACTCGTTGATTGGCCCGGGTGGAGAATAGAGGAACGTTTAGGGCACAGAGAGAGTGAGGACTGGAGGTCAGTGGTAACCTATCCTATGGGCCGTGCAGCATGCAGGGAAAAACTTTCCCCAGCTGGGACATTCTGGTTGTAGTTTGGCTTTCAAATATTCCCTTTACTCAGAAATCCCACCGCGCAAAACACGTTCCCTTCTCTGCACACTGCTGCCTGGACTTGCCCCTGACTGTAGCTGCCCTGTGGCCGCAGCAGAATCAGGAACAACGACGCGCTATGTGGTCTTGTGAGAATATTGAAAACTCTCAATAGCGCCTAATAGGGAAATTAGTGCATGACTGGTTCACGCCTTTGGCCCGCCTGGTAAAAGTCACTCTCCAGGGTGTGTGGGTGGTTCGCCCGGTGGGAGCTGACCAAATTGGTCACGGTGCTGAAGGCTTTGTTGCCCGCCACAGCGGCCCGGTGGCCCCCCGGGCGCTGTGGGAAAACGTGGGCCGGGAAAATGCCACAACGCCCCCCAATGGGAAGCAGGGGGGGACTATAACTCGCCACCCCGCCTCAAATTTAGAGCGTGACGATTTGGGATAATTGGTTAATTAGGGGGTGGGTGGGTGGGTCCGGCTAGGGGCCAGAGCCAGCAGTCCCTATTAATAAGACAGTGATTTCTTCTTTTCTGGCTGTTTGTCCCTTTTCAGCTTCTATTTTGGTAAAATATGACAGGAGTTCAAAGTGTTTTACATCTAAATGCAGTTAGTTCAGACTGAATTCTAAAGGCTAAACAGAGTCTATGAATCCGTGAAGCCAAGTGCGTAAAAGTTGTGCCTACCTGGTAAATAAGGCGTCCTGAATATGGGGTGAAAGGTTCCGTCAAAGCAGGGGAAGGGGAAGGTCTTGGAGTGCAGGCTTTGGATTGTGGGGGGTGAGGACGCTGTGGAGGAACATCACACGTGTTAAAATCATTCCTGAATGAGAAAAATGAATCTAAAGAAACACATGACTGAAGCCGGAGACAGTCTGTCTACTCACCGGTCTTTGGTGAAGGTGCGAGGATGGCGCTCACTCCAAACTTGAGAAAAGTTGGGTCCTTGCTGTTCGGCAGCGACGTTTTCGGCGAGCACGATTCGCGCGTCACCGCGGTGGTGGCCACCGCGCGCTCCACGGGCGCGCAGCTGAAGGAAACGGTAGTGGTGGGAGTGGGCAGGGAGCCACTCACTGATGGGACAGTCCGGTTTATGAAGGCGGCGGGACGACTTATCCGCAGCAGGTCCTCCACTAGAAAGCTGGAGTGGGTCGGGAAGGCGGACGGCAGGGTCTGATGGAGCGGCAGAGCCGCGGCGGGGCGGTACAGCCCCGGGTAGAGGGCAGGAGGCGCGATGACGCTTGGGATCATCATGGTCCCGGTTTAAAAAACAGTGTGAAATCTGAAATACTCCTCTTGTCAGTTGGGAGAGAATCAGTCGTGTGAATGGCTGCTAACTCCTCTGGTTTCCTCACTCTGGGGAGAGGAGTTTTATAGCAGCCTGCCCCCCCGGCCCTCCTCTCAGGGCTGACAGCCTCACAATGGGGCTCAACAAAGTTCTCCACATGGGTCGCTTTCATGCCCTATCCCCCGGCCCGCTGATTGGCCAGAGGACGCAATTTATGATTGCATTAGACTTCATAAGCAAGCAACACACAATGTAACGTCCACAAAAGGGGCTCAGTCATCAATTTTGCATGTTGACCACTTTCCTTTCAATTTGTTTTGTTTGGCAGAGGCAAGCGGCCTAATTAAAGAGCAATCTTTGCAGATTCATTCATTATTGGGGACTTTTAATGAGCACTTTAAGAAAGATACTTTATTCTTTTCCTTTCACTGTGTCCTTCTGTTATCCAGGATATAAAAATATACTCGTTAAAATGCTAAATTATTCTTTTATTCTATTTTCAGAGTTGAAAAACAAACATAGCTACAGGTACATAAAGCTAAGCTTTAAACTATCTAATACTATAAACAAAACAACTGAGTAGACTGTGTTTATTGTTAAATCTACATCCTCTGTTAGTCGCAGATGCCATGCGCAGCATCTCAAATGTAAATCAGTTGTAGGGTTTCATAGGATTCTCAACACTCAATCTGGCCCTCGTCATGGAATAATGTCTTAAACGGATTTCTGCTATCAAAACGCTTTAACAGATGTGTTAAATATCACTCTTTTTGCACAGGCTTCATTCAGTGCGCAGAGCCGCGGCACAGAGCGCACAGGAGAAGTGTGCGGCCTGCGCCGTGCGCTCATGATCCTGTTAACCATGAACTAACTGTCACCCTCAGCTGCGGAGGAGGCGCCCCTCGGCCTTTCTCTCCTTCCCTCTCTCGGCTTCAAAAAAAAGCCCTGTGGAATAAAAAAAGCTTTATTTCTAAAGACGGTTTTGTTCTGCTATTTTAACCGGCTGAATAAAAGTGCATCTGTGATTTGATTTAAAACGCATTCATATGAGCGGACACTGAGACCCCATATAAAACTCTTATTAAAGCGACTTGGAGCCTGATAGTCGTGTTCTGTCAGCTTTGCCCCTGAAAACCAGTTAAACCAGAGTAATCAGGCGAAAACGCATCGAAGTCCAAAAGGGGAAAAAACGACTAATTGTTGCCAGTTTGAAACGCAATTAAAATAAAAACCCTTTGATTTAGATTTAAAATCATTCAAGAAACGAAAAAACATTTTAATTTGATTTTATTTATCTGCATTTTTACTCATCCATGGTGGATTTTTTTTTCATTCATAGCTTTTATCGTCATGTAGCTCTGGACTTCATATTTGTGGCCTAAAAGTAACATGTTTGTCATCTTTCATTTAATCTTTTTTTATTTAAGGAAAAACACAACAATAAAAAAAAAATATATATATATCTGTGGAGAGTAGCTCTACTGATTATGTGCATAATTATTTAATGTTATAAATCTTCTCTTAATATGAAAAACCAAATAAAATTAATTTTGACTGTATTATTATTTTAAATATGTTTTGCTCGCACTGAAATTGTTCAGGCTGTCACACAAGTTAATAAAAAAGTCATGAAGAAGAAAGTCTCGGTGTTAAATAAAAGTGCATATAAACAAACTTTTACTTAAAAACAGTCCACATGAGTCCGACTGACTCCTCTGACTGAAGTGAAGCAGCCAGACAGTTTGCATCATTTGGCATCAGCTCAAATGATGATAAGTAGTTCAGCATCAATCTAATATAAATTGGCCACAATCCGATAATTAAAAAGGGAACGCCTCCGTGAAATGATCCTTTGGAGAGAGTCAGGGCTTATCAGAGGTGCGTCTGCTTTATGAGCGCAGGACGCACAAACAGGCGTTAACACCGCGCTGCGCCACCACAGCTACACCTCCAATAAGTAACGAGACCTTCAATGCTTTTTTATGAGCCCATATTCCTTTACTTGGCTGCCCGAAATCCCCCTTTTGTGAGCGGTAAGCAGATGGTTAGCAGGAAGCATAGGCTGCTCTGGCTGACCGAGACTAATTTCTACGAGCTTTGCAAGCTTGCCACGTCCCCGCTCCTTTACCAGGCCGAGTAAAAACAGCTGGCTGCGGCTGAATTAAAGCCATTAAAAGCACATCTCTGAAATATTACCAACCAACAACAGCCCCACCCCCTGTTAGAGCCCACTGAGGTCCCATCACTGTAGCATGATTATCCTGCAGGGATTCAACATCTCAAGTTAAAATTTACATGGCATTAGAGGATAATTTATAGGAGCCTATTTCCCAGCGTCTATATCACCAATATACGTTTATTACAAATTACAGTGCGTCGGAGTCTAATGCTTAATTTATACAGTTGAATCGGTTTAATTTTATTATTATTATTATGATAATATTCAATATAGTATTTCTGTCATATAGACTATAATATTCATATTATGTTTATGGTAGGTTAATACCCCCATAGGGATTACCTACTGATGTTTATCACTTAGGATGTCCCTATAATATCCCTTCAGGCAATAGGATTATTCATATTAATCTGTAGATTACCAGAATATTCCTAAATTAATTCATGATTTTCCAGATATATTTATGTACAGTAAGCTATAGGCAATTTATTATAGATTATTAAAGAATTGTTGTACGTTTTCCGACAGGGCCAGGCCGGTTTACTAAATAGATGAACTTAACCATTGTCTTGAGTCTCTTTCTGCTTCGTTAAGTGAAAGGGGCTGAGTAAATATGTTACCCATGCATGAGAGGCTCTCTATGGGCCGCGCCATTGTGCCGCGGGTCCGACAGGTGGTTAACTGTTTATTATTCCCTCATTATTTATCGGTGACGTGGACGCACCGAGGAAAGGGAACTCCCCATCTTTTCACTTTACCCAGGATGAACAGATTGTGCTGACTGGTTGCAGCCTCGTATATGACACCGGTCACCAGTCCATCCATCTCAGCCCCTCAGCCTTTCAAGCCTGCATCCAACTCCACCAGGGTTTGGTAAATGAGGGCCTTTATTTCTGTTAACACATCCGTCCTGAGCGTTTAGCCATTTTCTGTGGCAGTACATGCAAACACAGGCAAGTCAGTTAATGGATAGGCCATTACATATTATTAATTTAGCAGTGCCATTAAATAACAGACAGATACAACTGTAGACCCACTAATAACCAGAGGTTTCTAACAACACAGTGGGAATATTGTAACAATATTGTTATTAAAGGATGATGAGTAAATAAAGTTGAATTTGTTTGGCATAGACACTTAATTCTGAATATTATGAACTTTTTATAGGGATTTTTCTGTGTAAACTAACAATAATGGATAGTAATTTGCTTTAGTACTGTTTCCTACTTGCACTTGGTTTTATGATATTTTATATTTCACTATACTTGTTTAATGCAGATTCCAATTTTGCGCTGTTACAGATTAAAATACTCACCAGTATTAAAAAAATTAGCTGCATTAAACTGCTGCGTGGATATAAATACATGACTGGCTGATAATATTAAATAAAGTAACACCACCCATAGGAAATACTTTTACTTTTGATACTTAATCCTGCTGGAAATATGTCCAATTGTGACCATACTTTAATTTGAAAAATCACAATTCTGAGTAATGAAATACTTTTCACTTGTATTGTTTTTACTTGAGTAAACTTTCTCTCTACTTCTTGAGCCCATGGCGCCTTTAAATGTGACCGTTTGTGCAGGTTTCGGATGAAGCCGCACTGAATCCTCGCTCCTGCCATGTGAAGTTAACCAAACATCTATTTCAGCCGATTCAGTTTGTGACCGGGCTTCACCTCGGCAGCGGCTCCCACTTGGGGTGTTTTGGCCGCGGCTTCACCTCAGCTCACCGGCGGCTCTTAAGGTCCCTGCAGCATCTGGCACAGGCGGTGAAAAAGCCCTGCTCAACACTGAGCGAATTAGCAATGCCACAAGATTCAGAAGAGCAGTGACAAGCATTAAATCGATATTAACTTTGTATTAAACATGGGCCCCTCCCTCTTCCCCAAATGGACTGGAGCCATATCAGCGCACAAAGCGCTCTATATGAACTCTGGCTGCACCTGTTCCCTCTCACTTGGTCATGGGAGTTCAACTTCTTAGTTTCACCCCAGGCTCTTTTTTCATCTGCCTCACCCCACACTGAATTCTTTCAGTTGGGCTTTTGTCATCAATTTTGATCTCATCTTCACCCCCCACGTTCACTCATCAAATCACATCATTAAGATCATGCATATCACGTTTACATTTTCATTAACTGCTCCAACTGTAACACACAAGTTCCACTTTCAACCGCAGAAAGTGTCAAAGCAGAACTGTTCTGTCTAGTCCAGACCGGGACACTTGCCTCTCCTTTTTGCTGTTCATTTATTAGCAGTTGTCAGTATGGATGTCGAGTGGTGTCCTAATCCTCTTAAAGCGCATGTTGGTACAGTTTGCATATCATTTTCTCATCTTGGAGAAAGGCCACAACCCTCTCTATTCACAGGGATTCCCTGTCCTCTTTCAGTGCAGCCACAGCCAAGAGCATTAGCATAATCTGACAACCAATACCATTGTCCGTGACCTTGTATGCAAAGTTAATTGCTCATTAATACAAGACAAAACAGAGGGGTGCAGAGGAAGCACAGTAGTCCTCTAAATCCTTGTTTTAGAAGGGACAGGCAGGCAGGTGGAACATCCTCCATTGGCTCATTAAACTCCATCTGAAATTATTAGAAATTATTTAAATCTAAATATTTTTAATTCTCCTTTTTGACAAAAGCATCTGGTGCTCAAAAATACACAGAATCAGGTGTAAGTAGTAGTTGTTTAACCAGCCTCTTTAGTTTTAACAATAATCTGGCAGTGATATTGTAGTAAGTCCACACACACACACACACACACGCACACACACAAAGAC